GATATGTAATCAAAAGTTTAAAGGCCAGTGGACTAAAAGATACCTAATGCATAGGTGGTAAATATTGTAAAGAGGTTTATTGCTGCGAACATTTCATTTTGCTAAGATATTTTATACTGTTAAGTGTAATTCAACAACTAATGTGGAGCCCGGTTTGCTCAGTAATTGACTTTGTTTTTCCCTTCCAAGAGCCTAAGCTTTTATTAGTACAACAGAGCTTTTATATATAAAATAGAGAATAATGCTAAGCATTGTTATTAAGAAAGTTAGATTGACATAAGTATTCTTATGACATAAGTTTCTAGACATAAATATTTGTAGGTGCACACAGTATTGCTAAGATTAATTTATTGAATATTTTATAAAGAGATATTGGTTGATTATACATGTATTTTAACTGCATAACTATATACATGTGTTAAGAGGCACAAAATACTTTTTAAATCATTGTAAAGTCCTCAGCCCTTCCATTCTACCTTTAGTTCCACCACTAAAGAAATTTCTCTGTCTTTACCAGTGACCTAGTTATCAAGTCTATCTTCCTTCCAATGGCACTTGACTCATTCTAGACACTTAAATATTTGCGAGATAAATCCATGAATGAATAAATTGAGTGACTTTTTTTTTAGTGTCACTGCAACTGAAATATTTATTTATCTTTTAAATTCCCTTTTTTTCATGACTCTTATTTTCTTCTGATCCTTCTATTTATGTTTGGTTTCCTTTGCTTTCCATTTTCCATGGAAATGTGAACATCCTTAAGATTTCACTTTTGGGCGTCTTTCTTTTATAGTTCTAATGCTCTTGAATAATCATTCAATACTCTTTTCCTGAGTTTGACTCATAATTTTTAACCATCTATAAATCAAAACCTTCTGTTTGTGCTCTATGTACTATAAATTTAACACATTTAAGATTAAAGTCACTATATATCATTAGAGTAGCTACAGTAAACAATAACAAAATTCTAATAAGGGTAGCCAGGATACAGAGCAACAGTAATAGCTAATGGGAATGCAAAGTGGTATACTTACTTTTCAGAATGGCAATATGTTATAAAATGTGAAGCATATGCTTGTCCTGTTATCCATAGATTCTACTCCTAGATATTTACCTGTATTTACACAACCTGTACATGAGTGTTTATAACAGTTTTATTTGTAACTGCCCTAAACTAGAAAAAACCTAAATGTCCTTCAGCTAATGAATCAATAAACTGTGGTGTATCTGTACAATAGAATATTACTAAACAATAAAGAATGAATTTTGATACATTCCAACAATATGGTGACTCACAGATACACTGTTAAATGAAAGAAGACAGTTAAGACTGTATACTGTTATTATTTCATTTATGTGAAATTTGGGGAAAGGCAGAGCTATGGAAATAGTGGTTGCCAGGTTTTAGGAGTAGGGAAGGACTAAATAGCAGCATGATGAAGTTTTGGGGGGAATATGAAGCTGTTCTATATCTTAATTGTGTTGGTTATATGCCTGAGCATTGTGTCAAGTTTGTAGAACTGTGTACTGAGTGATTTTTGTTGTATGTAAATGAAAAATAAAATCATTGAATTCATTGTTTTCATCTCAAAAACAAGGAGGCAAGAAAACAAAACCACCACGCCAGTCCTCCATCTGTATTCCCTGTGCTGGGTTATTTTGTCATTATTTGGAAAGAGTTCATGCTGAAAACCATGAAATCATCCTCAACTCCTTTCTCTTCCTTAGTACATTTTACTTACATTCACTTGGCCTCTAATTCTTATTGAATCAGTATGTGAAATGTTTCTGGAATCAGTCTGTCTTCTGTGTTTTTCAGTGCAGCTACTAATTTACTTTATTTTTTTTTTTTAATTAAAAAAAAAATATTTATTTTCAATGTTTTTGACCACTTTTTTAAAAATTATTTTTATTAGTTGGAGGCTAATTACTTCACAACATTTCAGTGGGTTTTGTCATACATTGACTGAATCAGCCATGGAGTTACATGTATTCCCCATCCTGATCCCCCCTCCCACCTCCCTCTCCACCCGATCCCTCTGGGTCTTCCCAGTGCACCAGGCCTGAGCACTTGTCTCATGTATCCCACCTGGACTGGTGATCTGTTTCACTATAGATAATATACATGCTGTTCTTTCGAAACATCCCACCCTCGCCTTCTCCCACAGAGTCCAAAAGTCTGTTTTGTACATCTGTGTCTCTTTTTCTGTTTTGCATATAGAGTTATCATTACCATCTTTCTAAATTCCATATATATGTGTTAGTATGCTGTAATGTTCTTTATCTTTCTGGCTTACTTCACTCTGTATAGTGGGCTCTAGTTTCATCCATCTCATTAGAACTGATTCAAATGAATTCTTTTTAACGGCTGAGTAATATTCCATGGTGTATATGTACCACAGCTTCCTTATCCATTCATCTGCTGATGGGCATCTAGGTTGCTTCCATGTCCTGGCTATTATAAACAGTGCTGCGATGAACATTGGGGTGCACGTGTCTCTTTCAGATCTGGTTTCCTCAGTGTGTATGCCCAGAAGTGGTATTGCTGGGTCATATGGCAGTTCTATTTCCATTTTTTAAAGAAATCTCCACACTGTTTTCCATAGTGGCTGTACTAGTTTGCATTCCCACCAGAATAGATCACATCCTGGACCATAAATCTGGTCTTGGAAAATTCAAAAAAATTGAAATCATTCCAGTCATCTTTTCTGACCACAGTGCAGTAAGATTAGATCTTAATTACAGGAAAAAAATTGTTAAAAATTCAAAAATATGGAGGCTAAATAACACGCTTCTGAATAACCAACAAATCATAGAAGAAATCAATAAAGAAATCAAAATATGCATAGAAATGAATGAAAATGAAAACACAACAACCCAAAACCTATGGGACACTGTAAAAGCAGTGCTAAGGGGAAGGTTCATAGCATTACAGACTTACATCAAGAAACAAGAAAAAAGTGAAATAAATAACCTAACTCTACACCTAAAGCAATTAGAGAAGGAAGAAATGAAGAACCCCAGGGTTAGCAGAAGGAAAGAAATCTTGAAAATTAGGGCAGAAATAAATGCAAAAGAAACTAAAGAGACCATAGCAAAAATCAACAAAGCTAAAAGCTGGTTTTTTGAAAAAATAAACAAAATTGACAAACCATTAGCAAAACTCATTAAGAAACAGAGAAGAACCAAATTAACAAAATTAGAAATGAAAATGGAGAGATCACAACAGACAACACTGAAATACAAAGGATCATAAGAAGCTCTATGCAATAAAATGGACAACTTGGAAGAAATGGACAAGTTCTTAGAAAAGTATAACTTTCCAAAACTGAACCAGGAAGAAATAGAAGATCTTAACAAACCCATCACAAGCAAGGAAATAGAAACTGTAATCAGAAGTCTCCAGCAAACAAAAGCCCAGGACCAGATGGCTTCACAGCTGAATTCTACCAAAAATTTAGAGAAGAGCTAACACCTATCTTACTCAAACTCTTCCAGAAAGTTGCAGAAGAAGGTAAACTTCCAAACTCATTCTATGAGGCCACCATCACCCTAATTCCAAAACCAGACAAAGATGCCACAAAAAAAGAAAACTACAGGCCAATATCACTGATGAACATAGATGCAAAAATCCTTAACAAAATTCTAGCAAACAGAATCCAACAACATATTAAAAAAATCATACACCATGACCAAGTGGGCTTTATCCCAGGAATGCAAGGATTCTTTAATATCCACAAATCAATCAATGTAATACACCACGTTAACAAATTGAAAGATAAAAACCATATGATTATCTCAATAGATGCAGAAAAAGCCTTTGACAAAATTCAACATCCATTTATGATTAAAACTCTCCAGAAAGCAGGAATAGAAGAAACATACCTCAACATAATAAAAGCTATATATGACAAACCCGTGGCAAGCATCACCCTCAATGGTGAAAAATTGAAAGCATTTCCCCTGAAATCAGGAACAAGACAAGGGTGCCCACTCTCACCACTACTATTCAACATAGTGTTGGAAGTTTTGGCGACAGCAATCAGAGCAGAAAAAGAAGTAAAAGGAATCCAGATAGGAAAAGAAGAAGTGAAACTCACTCTGTTTGCAGATGACATGATCCTCTACATAGAAAACACTAATTTACTTTAGGTCTTTATCATCAAAGTTTGAAACAACGTTCTCTTTAATTTCTGAATTCTTCTCTTTAGGATCAAGACCAGATTTCTCAGCTAGATTGCAGGAACTATATATTTCAACATTACCTACCTTTCTAGTTTTATCTCCTGCCCCTTTTAAAATATATTTCATGTTTATATGTTTTGTATATTTATAAAATAATTGTTAATTTTTTAAAACATGTATAATAAAACTACTGAAAAATATAGAAATATTTCAGTATTTTAAATGAACTGATTATACTCTAGTACTGAAAATTGGTATTGTACTCATAACTCAAGTCCTGACCTGTTTGATGTTAGTTCTTTAGGCAGTTCCTTAAATAAGTGAAAGAAGCCAGACACCAATAAATGTATAAGGTTGGCTTACTGAAACTTGATGCCATATTTTATTGAAAATAAGTCAATTCATTGCTGATTATTTCTTGATCTTTCCAGAAGCTGTGATTTAGAAGTTTTTTATCTGACTGTTTCATGATTATTTCCTGGCTAACAGTTATTTTAAGATGCACCTCACTTATAGAAAGGTTAAAATATCAGGGATAGGAGAGTGCCTCTCTGAATCAGTGAAATTAGGGTAATGACTTTGTGTTTAGACCAAAATCTATTATTTGTTTGATATGAAGTCCTAAAACATTTGATCATTTTCCTCCAATTTTGGTGTGGGGGTGAGAGGATGTATTCATTGTACATAATTTTCAGGATGAGTTTTGTTGGTGTATTTAATCCATGAGCCTGAATTTAGTTGCCCTAGAGTAAACATCTCATGTTATTTTGAAAGTAATTGATATCTATTTTCTTCTCTCCTAATCTTAAGATGCCATGGCCAGTCCAGGGAAAGATAACTATAGAATGAAAAGTTATAAGAATAAAGCCCTAAACCCCCAGGAGATGCGTAGACGAAGAGAAGAAGAAGGAATACAGCTTCGAAAACAAAAAAGGGAAGAACAGGTAGGTGTTTTAAAATATTTAATTCTGTTATTGCTAATTTTTAGATAATTTTAAATGAAATTTTTTTTCCTAGGACATTGAATATATATTTTTATTAGAATCCAGTAGTATTAGCAAATTCATGAATCAGAATCCTATGCCATTTTTAATCACTTACAAGAATGACTTTTCTGTTCCATTGATAAACCTTTTATGTCAACATTTCTACCCCAGTGCTAAGACATATTTACTGTTGAGCCTATTTGTATCACTTCCACTCAGCATTGTAAAATTTTCCCCCTAGAAAAATTAACTATATTCATTTGTCACTTTGTGGTTTTCATAACTCTTGCCCCTAAGTTAATTATAATCATTTTCCTGTGCTACTCATACTGTTCCTCCTATAGTCTCATCAGGCAGACCTCTTAGCTTTATCTGTTTGGACTTTATATATGGAACATAAGGAATAGAAAAATTCATTTAAAAGAATGCATCTCCATGTTTCATTCCAAGATGCGCTGAAATTTAGAAATATTCATAAACGAGTAGAAGGGTATGGTCCTCACATACATGAATTAAAACTACTATGTAAAAGGGACTAGCAATGTAGAAAGTAAAAAAGGGCCTGTTTTAGAAATATGATTATCCTCCCTATTTATAGCATCTAACACAGTCTCTACTATATTACAGTAGGTACTCAAGAAAAAAAGTCTGTTGAATGAGTAGGAAAAGAACTGTGTAGAGACTGAGGAAGAGCAGAATTTTATTTAGCTATCAAAAAGATTATACCAGATTTTTTTAATCAGTTTTGATTTATGAAATATACCTGTAAATCTTGCTCAGTGACTTGACCATGTCTCTTTCTTCCTCTCTTTTTTTTTTTCTTTATGTTCACTCAGTTAATAAGCATAGGGTCATCTTTCCTGAGAGGAGTTTTTGTTCCTTGTTAGTCTGATATACTGGCTCTGTTAATATATCATGTTATCTCACTCGTATAACAGATCTGCTTTTCTTCTTAAATACCTCATAATTCAGTGTAGGCATATGTGCTTTTCCAGGTGCTGCAAAATATAAATGTGTGTTCTGTTTATGGTACTGGAAATTGGTTAAAAGACCTGAGATTAAGAATGTCCCAAAGCAGTCTATAGGACAAGAGCTAATCTAGCCCCAAATGTTTAACTTCTCTTGAATAATTTAGGTGTTTATGGTATGGTGATTACAAAATACTAAAATATTCAGAATTTTAAGTGATAAAATGATTTTGTTTTGTTTTGTTCACGTAAAGGAAAAAATAATTCTATGGGAATTTAGTGTTTTATGGAAAGCTTAATATATTATTTCTCTTTATTATAGTTATTCAAACGCAGAAATGTCTCTTTGCCCAGAAATGATGAATCTATGTTAGAAAATCCTATCCAGGATCCAGACATCAGTTCCACTGTACCCATTCCAGAGGTAGATATTACAAATGTATTTCAAATTATATTTCTTCAGTATTTCAGAGATGATACTGCAAAATTATTGATGTAAAAAATTTAGGTAATAATTACATTTTCTGTGTTTTAGGAAGAAGTTATTACTTCAGATATGGTTCAGATGATTTTTTCTAATAATGCTGATCAACAACTAACAGCTACACAAAAATTTAGAAAGCTGCTTTCTAAAGGCAAGAATTATTTTCATTGTGCTTATTTGATGTTACTTATTTCCTGATGTTACAGGAATTTGTAGTGCAATTTTGTTAGTTTTTTTTTTTATTTTAAGACACTTTCTTTTCCAGTACATCTTAATTTTTTCTATAATAATCTCTTTTTTAAAACCATTATACTGTCAAAGTAACACATGTTGATTGTAGAATATCTGCAAATATAAAAGAATTTAAAGAAGGAAAATAGTCCCAAATGAGTCCCATTGCTAAGAAAGTTAGATATACATATTTCTAAATTCTTACAGAAATATTTTTCAGACTTTTTAAAAATGGCAGCAAGACAGCAGAGCATGAATGTAAAATAATTTAATCAATCAGATATTTCTTTTTTTCCAAATTTTAAAAAATTTAATTTGTATTTTATATTGGGTGGGAGTAAAAGCATTAATAATACTATGTATTATCTTGCTGATGTTTTATAACTGTAAGAGCAGTTTAGGCTGTAGTCTGTGATTTACATTTTGAAGAATCCAGACTTTTCGTGTGGAACACTCAAACAAAACTCTGTAGTATTTTACTAACTTTGCAGAAATCTCCCACATTTTGAGAAAGTTAGGATAGCAAATTTGTAGAAAAAGAAAAGGGAGAAAGTCTATTCCTTTTGTTTGTTTGTTTGTTTCTTTTGGCCACATTGCTTGGCTTGTGGGATCTTAGTTCCCAACCATTGAACCTGAGCCCCTGCATTGCAAGTGCTCTGGACTGCCAGGGAGTCCCAGAAATATCTTTATTTTAAGTGTGCATTTATTTTAATTGCATTTATTTTAAATTTGCATTTAAACTTCTTAGAGATTTTATTATTCTCTTAATTCCTCAGCCTATCATGAGAGTTTATCAAGAATTCTAGATAGTTCAATAGCATTTTTATAAATAACATCTTGAGAAGATAGGACTTATCTTGCTGAAAGATATTAGGCAGTTCATGGTTGATAATGAAAGGGACATCCCTGGAAATTGGAGTATGGTTATGAAGAATTAGAAGGACTGTTATCCTTAGAAGGATTATTATCCTTTGATTGGTGTTTTGAATATTGGACTGAAATACTTCCACACTGTAAATGTGACCTCCTAAATAGCCTTTATAATTTTAAATAATTGTATAGCAAGTATTTTAAAATTTTCTTACTGTTAACGCTAATGAAAAAGAATTTGCTTTTTTTTGCAGTAAACATTGCAGTTATGAGACCATTTGTTTTCTTCAGTTACATCCAGCTAAGGGTTTCAAATCTGGGCAGTGAAATCTAGGAAAGAGTTATTTTGTGTGTCCTGTTAACTTACACAGGGTCCAGATCATTGTGCTTTTGTGTCTGCATAATAGCTTCATTCTTTTTTTAATTTTTAGAACCTAATCCACCAATTGATCAAGTTATACAGAAACCAGGAGTGGTGCAGAGATTTGTGAAATTTCTTGAAAGAAATGAAAATTGTACATTACAAGTGAGTTCTGTAGTTTATGTTCTTAATTATCTCTTTCCAGAAACTACATAGGATTAATTTCTAGTGAAAGCAACTTCTACAGTACTGAATATATTGTAAGCATTCAGGAAATGTCAATAGGTGGCGATTAAAGATGGTGCTACCTGTCTTGCCCTGGTCAAGTTTACAGTGCTCATTTTTCCTAGGTACTGTTATTTTCTCTAGAAATTATGATCATTAAACAATTTTTTTTGAAAAATATATTTAAAATCACTTGTAATTTTAAGAAAAATTTTATAGTTGTCATCCTTTAATAACTTTTGCTTTAGAAAATCATAAATCAAAATATTAACTAACTTAATGGTAAAATTTATTTTGGCTCCTAACTAAAGTTGTAAGTTTTTAGTAAACTCTTGTACCTCTTAAAATATTTTAATCTGATTGATCAGTTCCTTTTTTTTTTTTTTGAAGAAAGAACAAATCAGTATAGTCTACTTAAAATGTGACCAAAGTTAAGTGTGTCTTAAAGAGTGTTGCTTCTCCGTTACAGTGAAAATTTTAAGATGTCTTCCAAATAATTGGCTACTAAAAGTATTGAAGTTTGCAAATATTTTACTGTTTAAGATTGTTCTTCCTGACTTTCATTGCTATATATATATTCTTAAGTAAGTGTACAGGATGGAATTATATCTATCAGGAATTGTACAAACCTACACCTGCTTTCTCAGTGCTCTTATTGGTATTGGAGAACTGTTCCTGGTATTTGAATAATTTGAAATTACATCTTAGAATAGTGTTCTACTTAATCTGAGTAATTTGGGAAAGATCCTCTCTATAGGTATAAGCAACAAAATTTGCTGCACTTCTGAATATTACCCATCATGAGCTTTATAAAAAATGCTGAGAATGTTTACAATAAGGATAGTCTTGTCAATTAAGTGATAGTGCTGTAAGGACTATTAATCACCTAAAATCTATCTGTCACCTAGAGTCTTTAGGTAATAGTGCTGTAAGGGCTGGAAATCATGATCTGGTCTTTTGCTTTATTTGTCAGCTCTGAGTCCAAACTAAAACCTAAGCCTCCTGATAGCTAGTTTATTATTTGACTCTTTAATTCTAAGTGATTGAAAGAAGAAATGAATGGATATAATTGAATGTTAGTTTAAACAATACATTGTATAAGGCGTTGTAGTTACAGAATAGTAAGATATTTCTCTCTTTGCAGAAATTCTTCACTCTGTTGGGGAAGACAAACACCTAAACAGATCTGTGATACTATAGTACACTTAGTGCTAACAGAAAATTATACAAAGTTCTTTGAGAGCAGAGAGAACATAGCAGCTTGTGTTTACAATGTTACACAGCTAGTCTTAAGGGAGAATGAGAGTTTAACAGGCTGAATAAAAGGAGAAGTAATTTCAGGTTGTGAAAATAGCATGTGTAGAAAGCACACAGTATTCAAAAACACTGGGGATTTGAGTGTGTATCAGTCGGTGTGTGTGTGTGTGTTAGTCACTCAGTTGGGTCTCTTTGTAATCCTGTGGACTGTAGCCCTCCAGACTCCTCTGTTCATGGAATTCTCCAGGCAACAATACTGGAGTGAGTTACCATTTTGTTCTCCAGTTAATCATTGTACTTGAAACCTAGTGAAATTCAGCAGTGTGTTCTTGGGGCAGCTATATGGTGTGCCGTATTATCCAAGTTAATATGAAATACATTGTTCAAACCATAGATCTAACTGTACTAAGTTCTGTTCTGAGAGTGCATCTGTCAGTCCAATAAAGTTAGCCTAGGTACCCAACTAACACAATCGGCTATATAATACTGTCCTGTAAAAGGTTTATACTACTTTCCATACAAATAATACATAAAAAACAACCGAAAAATAAAGAAAACATTTTTAATCGCATAGTGTACTGCCTTGAAAAGCGCAGTAGTGTGGTACAGCAGCTGGCTCGCCGGGCGGGAAGAGTTACTGACGAGGCGGGAGAGAGAGGGAGGTGCTAGAGCTGAGGGATCCTCTGCAGCAGGGGATGGAGGGCAAGCTGCGGTGTCACGCTCGCCTGATGTGGATGGCACCCATGTTTGCATCTTGAAGGTTCAGATGTAGGGGACTTACTGTGGTTGAGAGGCCTCCAACTGGGGACCTACATGTTTGGCCTGCACATGTTTTAAAATATATGAATTTAGATATCAGGCTTTCAAAAGTGGAAGTCTAGATTTGGGGCTTCTTTTTACAAATCAGAAGAATTGGCATTGTTGCCACATACTAAAGATCTATTGGAGTTGAATAGGAGCTCTGCCTCTTTTTTTTTTTCTTTTTAAAATTATAACCATTTTCTCTTAGTTTTATCTGTACTTTTCATGCCTTTCACTAATGCTTTTTATTATACTTTTATTAATCATAATACCTACCTTAATGTGAGAAGTTGTCTAGGCTAAATATTTTTAAAGCTATTGTCACTCCTTAATTTGCAGGTCTAATATGCTAGTTTGTTAGAGAACCATGACTTAAATTTTTCTCAATTGCATCATTATAAATCCATCATGGATAAGTATATCTGAATTCTGATTGATGAGTAACTTCCCAGAGGCTCTGCTACTTGAAAGAATACCACAAGTTCTTGTGGCTCTGCTAATAATGAACTCTTTGACCTTGAACTAACCACCTAAATGTATGGCTTCCTAATTTTTCTTATTTCTTAAGTGATGAGGTTAGGAATAGATGATTCTTAAGGAAACAAAAGTACCTTTTATGATTCTAAGTTCCATAAATATTCTGTTTATTAAGTAATGTGTATCATTTTTGTTTTAAACGGCTTGATTTAGAATACCTGGCTCCCTAATAGTAAACGTCAGGGGTCTTATGAAATATAAATTCAAATGTATTCATTTATTGTTCATGATTTTATAAGTTTTTATTACATTCTTCTCAGTTCTTATTTTTCCAGATTGAAGAGTCCTTTTTTAAAAAAATTAAGTGTTTTTACCTATCAAATCTGATTTCACATTGAATCTTATTAATCGTAAGTGAATCTTTCTCTCAGACTTGTTCAGCTAAGTCTTGACTCCCTCTCTTCTTCCTTTCTTCCTCTTTCTGGCATTTCTTTGGGGCTTTCATTTATTTTGCTTTTATTTTTCCTTAGTTTGAAGCTGCGTGGGCATTAACTAATATAGCATCTGGAACTTTTCTGCATACCAAAGTAGTGATTGAAACTGGGGCTGTTCCAATTTTTATCAAACTTCTTAATTCAGAGCATGAAGATGTTCAAGAACAGGTAAGTTTCTAATTTGAACTGTCGTATCTACTATATTTTAATTTTCTCTTGAAAGTGCCATTTGTGATTATGATTTGAAATTCATTTTTACCAAGTTGCCTGTGCATTACATTTGTTAGAATATAATGATTGCTGTTTAGTGTCAAATTAGAAGGAAGGAAGAATGAACTGTTTTAGGTATAATCCTGGGTCCTTTGTACATAGATTTCAGCTATTGAGAATTTCTATTCCCATTTATAAAAGAGCATACTGAGACCCAGAAAAGATAATAATTTACCCAAAGTCACAGTGAAGGACTGAGCCAGGTTTTAAGCCTGGACCAGTCTGACTCCTTGTTCTTTACATGTATGTAGATTATTTTATTGTTTCTTTTTAATATGTCATGTTATTTTTAATAAACCATTTTAGATTAGACTTTGTATGTAAATTATCATATTTATTGTAACAGGAAAAATTTAATCACGTATAATTTTTATCATCTAGAGAAAGTCAAATGTTTTGTTATTTTTTTTTGGATTCATTTTCATGCAAATTGATCCATAGATCTCACTACCGTTCCATTTGTTTGTTTATATTTTTATTTTTATGTTATATTTTTTCCCACTTAACAATAGTATGGAGAGCCTTTTCTTATGGCATCAATTATTCTTGAAGAAAACTTCACTGATTACTCATTATCCATTCAGGTAGCTACCATAATTTATCTATTCCTCAGCAGTTGTACAGTTGAGTTATTTCTAGCTTAATGGTGTTAATAATATTGTGGTGAGCATCATTATATATCAATCTTGATAGTAATATGTCTTGACATTAATATATGCCTTGATTATTTCATTAGGAAAAAATGATTATACTCAAAGAAAAGCTTTTAAAGTGCTATTACTATTTCAAAGTTGACTTCCAAAATGTTATAAAAATGGATATCCCACCAACAAAATACTTCACAGGGTGCAAAATGTCATCACTTTAAAAACGTTTTCTTAAAAATGTAAAAATAAACTTAGGTCTAGAGTAGATGTTAAAAATATTAGTGTAAATTTTAAATGTTAAAATACAATTTTCCCAGTTGAAATATTGATTTCTTTCTACTTTTGTACATATATGAGAAACTTGAAATGAAAATATAATCATTTGCATTTGTGTAATTTCTTGTCTAATTGAAATTTAATACATGAATAATTTGATCTTTTACTGTCATTTATTTAACCTGCACTGTCTCTAAGCTTATTTTTAAGCTTCAATTCAAGACAGTTCTCACATTAGCTTTACCTTAGTTTTCTGTGGTTTATCTCTCCTTCCTTTTCTTTTTTACAAGTCAGTTCCTTCCCAGTGAGTGGATTCTTTGGCATAGGAGCAAACCTCTAGCATAGGTAATTGGAAAATTCCCTAAACAAATATACAGTTGACCCTTGAACAAAACAGGTTTGAATGCATGGTTCACTTACACACAGTTTTTTTTTTGCAATAAATACATACTGCAGTACTACACAATCCAAAGTTGCTTGAGTCTGCAAGTGATCCTGTGTAAGGAGGGACAGCTTTAAAATTATTCATGGATTTCCGACTGTGCAGGGGTTTGTCCCCCTCACTGCCAAATTGTTCAGAGGTCAACTGTGTTTTGTCTCTCCATGTAGATTCAAAGTAGACAAACTATCTCCTTCTTAAAGAGAATAAACATATCACTAGCCTATAAGAAAAAAGTTTAAATGCCCTGTGTTTTAATTTGACTAAAAATACTATTAAAGATAATTTTGAAGTTTTCCTACTAGCATGTTTCTTTTAATATCTTGAAAACTAACCAATTTTTTCCTTTTACAATAAAATTTCATTCTTAAGAGAGAATCTTATTTAAAATATTATCATAAAAGAATATTTTTTATTATTTTTTAAAGGCTGTTTGGGCACTTGGTAATATTGCTGGTGACAATGCAGAATGCAGAGATTTTGTTTTGAATTGTGAAATACTTCCACCTCTTTTAGAGTAAGTACTTTAAGTTTATCACAATTAAATACTGTTAACTTTTGGAAAAGCAAGCTATTTTCTACACTATATTTCTACATACACATTTACTTCTTCAGTGATACTTTTAAATTTTGCTTATGTTTGGCCAAGCCTGAAATAGCTTGAAATTGCATAAAACTAACAAAGAAAATTTCTGGTTGTGTCACATATTTGTCTTTTATGTTCCCTTAAGCCACACTTCACAGCATTCATTGCTTACTTGATGCTTACAGTGCTAAAACAATTATTCTAGAGAACAAGGATAAGTAGTAGTTTTTAATACACTAAAAATTTTAAAGTTACTAAAGCAGACAGTATTGAGTTGATGAACAGATGATATGTTGAACTTGTCAGATTCTCCTATTTGATTTTGAAATATTCAGAGAACAGAGATTTTTTTCAGAATTAGAACTTTACTTAAAATGACTTAGCTAGTGGTTTCTTTTTCTAATACTTTACACTTTTTTTTAAGAGAAGAAGCTACCCTATAATATAGGGTTCTTTACAGAAATGACATAAAATTATTTGGAAGATGTTTATTTATCCAAGTTGGTTATCATTTACTGAGAATTTTAATATAGGCTGAATACCATTGGCAAATAGTGAAAAATGAAAAAGTAATTGAGATATTTTGAGAAGGAAAATTTTACTCTTAACCATTTCTGTGCCATTCACCATCCTTTCCAAGCTTAGAAATTAGAATATGTTTTTAGATACCATTTTGTTTTGTTTTTAGATACAAACAGAAAAAATATGTTTTTAGATACAGTCTTGCAAAATATATTTTATTGTTTTAGAATGTGTAACTTTCCATGTTCAAAATGGATTTCTCAGCATCATTTCACTCAACTCACACTGAGTACTTAACTATGTTCAGGCCACTGAACCACTTGTGATTTCATTTACTTTGGGCTTATTCAAAATAATATCTGAGCAGTTAGTCCAATTATAAAGGAAAATACTGATTTAGGGTTCAATATCAGAATTATTTTGAAGTTCATACTACTAAAGTATGTATGAGCTAAAAAAAGTATCATATACTAAAAAAAGTATCTCTTAAATTTTCAACTCGGGGTTTTTCTGGCCTGATTTTATGGTTTGTAGATTAACTGTGAGCACTTGGTTTCTCTTCTTACTTTGTCTCTAGATCATATTCTTTGTCTTTGGGTCATTTATTATTTGTTAATATTTAAAGTCGGTAATGGTTTATGAAATAGTAAGTAAGCATTTTTTAGTTCTAATTACTCTAAATGTTCTAAGAAGCTTTTAATTATGACTAAAGAAACCAAACTAAAAAACAAAGGTCTAATGAAAAACAAACAATACCCAGCTATCTAGTCATGGTTATAAACATAATAAATTTCAGAAAAAGAGTAGGTTTAGAAAGTTTCAAAGTTTCATTAAAAAATTGAGGAAGGTGATAAGAAGGAAGGCATGTCAAGATGTTCTCACCGTGGTTGGTCTAAAGGAAAAATGGTATTAACTTTAAGAAGATTATGGATAATCTGTAGTTCACATTGAAGTTAAATTAACATTTCACTAATGTGTTAAGTTTGTATAAAATTTCTATACAGTTTTACCAGTTCTGCCTTTTGGTTCTCAGTAAATGTGAACCTTTTACTATTGCGGACTTTATATACTGATGTGGTGATTTAGTCACCAAGTCATGTCTGACTTTTGCGACCCTATGGACTGTAACCTGCCAGGCTCCTCTGTCCATGGGATTCTCCAGGCGAGAATACTGGAGTGGGTTGTCATTTCTTTCTCCAGTGGATCTTCCCAACCCAAGAATCAAACCTGGGTCTCTTGCCTTTCAGGCAGATTCTTTACTGACTGAGCTACAAGGGAAGATCTCAATATACTGATATAGCTTTGTTGTTTTAATTTAATGCAACTTTAATTTATAATACAGCAAATTTGGACAAGAAAATATTTGTAATTTCTCTTAATACCCCCATTAATACAAGGAGGATAATATACATCACAGCTTGGCCAAGTACAGTCTTCATGCCAAATTTGGCCTGTCCCCTGTTTTTGAAAGTTAAATTTTACTGGAATACAGTCACATCAATTTGCTTACTTACTGTCTGTGGTTGCTTTCATGCTGTATCAGCAGAGTTCAGTAGCTGCAACAGAGAAAGGCCTGTGAAGCCAAAAGTATTTACTGAAAAGTTTGTCAATTCCTGATGTAGTAAGTCAGTGTAACTAACTTATTTCTAAATGAGTTATGGTTTTAGGAGGTTTCAAATACTCTTTATAGCAAAACTTTTAGAGCATTTTTTTGAGTGACAGAATATACACTATAAAAACTTTACCATTTAAAAGTGTACAGTTTACTATCACTCGGTATGTTCACAGTGTTTCTCAACCATAACAACTATCTAGTTCTAGAACTTTCTGTCATCCCAAACAGAAACCCCAATACCCTTTTTTCCAAGTACTTGGATACCACTAATCTGTTTTCTGTCTCTCTGGATTTGCCTATTCTGGGTATTTTACATAAATGAAATCATATACTGTGTGACCTTTTGTGTCTGCTTCTTTCACTTAGCATATGGTTTTGAGGGTTCATTCATATTGTAGAATGTATCAATACTTCATTCTTCTTATAGTTAAATAATATTCCATTATATGGATTTACCACATTTTGTGGTACATTCATCACTTGATGATCATTTGGGTTATTTCCACCTTTTGGCTACTGTATATATGTAGTACTCCTGTGAACATTTGTGTACAGGTTTTTGTTTGAAACCAGTGTTTTCAGTTCTTTTTAGGTATATACCTACCAGTGGAATTACTGGGTAATGCGCTAATGCTGTCTTCACCTTTTACCACCAGACTTTTTCCATAGTAGCTGCACCATTCTGTTTCTACCAACAACATGTGAGAGTTCCAGTTTCTCACCGACAGTTGTCTGTTGTTGGTTTTTTTTAATTGATTTATTTATTTTAATGGAGTCTAGTTATTTTACAATATCATAGTGGTTTTTGCCATACACTGACATGAATCAGCCATGGGTGTACATGTGTCCCCCCGACCTGAACCCCTCTCCCACCTCCTTCCCTATCCCATCCCTCTGGGTTGTCTCAGTGCACCAGCTTTGATTGCCCTGTTTCAGGCATCGAACTTGGACTGGTCACCTATTTCACATATGGTAATGCACATGTTTCAATGCTATTCTCTCAAATCATCCCATCCTCGCCTTCTCCCACACAGTCCAAAAGTCTGTTATTTATATCTGGTCTCTTTTGCTGTCTCGCATATAGGGTCATTGTTACCATCTTTCTAAATTCCATATATATGCAATAATATACTGTATTGGTGTCTTTCTTTCTGACTTACTTCACTGTGTATAACAGGCTCCGGTTTCATCCACCTCATTAGAACTGACTCAAATGTGTTCTTTTTAATAGCTGAGTAATATTCCATTGTGTATATGCACCACAACTTTCTTATCCATTCATCTGCAGATGAATATCTAGGTTACTTCCATGTCCTAGCTTTTGTAAAGAGCACTGCCATGAACATTGGGATACACATGTCTCTTTCAGTTCTGGTTTCCTCGGTGTGTATGCCCAGCAGTGGGATTGCTGGGTTGTGTGGCAGTTCTATTTCCAGTTTTTTTAAGGAATCTCCACACTATTCTCCATAGTGGCTGTACTAGTTTGCATTCTCACCAACAGTGTAAGAGGGTTCCCTTTTCTCCACACCCTCTCCAGCATTTATTGTTTGTAGACTTTTTGATAGCAGCCATTCTGACCTGCGTCAGATGGGACGTCATTGTGGTTTTGATTTGCATTTCTCTGATAATGAGTGATGTTGAGCATCTTTTCATGTGTTTGTTAGCCATCTGTATGTCTTCTTTGGAGAAATGTCTGTCTAGTGTTTTGGCCCATTTTTTTATTGGATCATTTATTTTTCTGGTATTGAGCTGCTTGAGCTGCTTGTATATTTTTGAGATTAATTGTTTGTCAGTTGCTTCATTTGCTATTATTTTATCCCATTCTGAAAGCTGTCTTTTTACCTTGCTTATAGTTCCCTTTGTTGTGCAAAAGTTTTTAAGTTTAATTTGGTCCCATCTGTTTATTTTTTCTTTTATTTCCATTACTCTGGGAGGTGGGTCATAGAGGATCTTGTCATGATTTATGTCAGAGAATGTTTTGCCTATGTTTTCCTTTAGGAGTTTTAAAGTTTCTGATCTTACATTTAGATCTTTAATCCATTTTGAGTTTATTTTTGTGTATGGTGTTAGAAAGTGTTCTAGTTTCATTCTTTTACAACTGGTTGACCAGTGTTCCCAGTACCACTTGTTAAAGAGATTGTATTTCTCCATTGTATATTTTTGCTTCCTTTGTTAAAGATAAGGTGTCCACAGGTTTGTGGATTTATATCTGGGCTTTCTGTCTTGTTCCATTGATCTATATTTCTGTCGTTGTGCCAATACTAAACTGTCTTGATGACTGTAGCTTTGTAGTATAGTCTGAAGTCAGGCAGGTTGATTGTTCCATTCTCTTTCTCAAGATTGCTTTGGCTATTCCAGGTTTTCCTAAGTACTTTATTCTTTTCTTTGGCAATCGTGAATGGGATTGTTTGCTTAATTTCTCCTTGTTTTCTCATTGTTAGTGTATAGGAATGCAAGGGATTTCTGTGTATTAATTTTATATCCTGCAACTTTACTCTATTCATTGATTAGCTCTAGTAATTTTCTTGTTGTGTCTTTAGGGTTTTCTATGTAGAGGATCATGTCATATGCAAACAGTAAGAGTTTTACTTCTTTTCCAGTCTGGATTCCTTTTTTTCTTTTTCTTCTCTGATTGCTGTGAAAACTTCCAAAGCTATGTTGAAAAGTAGTGGTGAGAGTGGGCACCCTTGTCTTACTCCTGACTTTAGGGGAAATGCTTTCAATGATTTGCCATTGAGGATAATGTTTGCTGTGGGTTTATCCTATATGGCTTTTGTTATGTTGAGGTATGTTC